GACTTTTAGGATCACCTTGTTGATTTCTGTAAAAAGTCAACTAAGATTTTGATAGATATTATACTGAATCTGTAGATCAGCTCCTTTATACAGCAATTGACATGTTAAATATATTGTTTTCCAGTCCATGGACACACAAAAACTTGTATACAAATGTTGACAGTAGCATTACTCATGATAGCCAAAATGTGAAATAAAACGTGTGCAGCCACAGAACAGCGTATTATTTGGCAATAAAAAGAAATAAAGTATTGATGCATTCTACAACATGGGAGAACTTTGAAAATGTTATGCAATGTTAAAGAAGCTTGTCACAACAAAAGGCTCATTCTATTTACATGAAATGCCCAGAACAGATGAACCCACTGAGACCAAAAAAAAAAAAAAAAAAGTAGATCCTCAGGGGGGCGCCTGGGTGGCTCAGTCAGTTAAGTGTCTGCCTTCGGTTCAGATCATGATCCCAGGGTCCTGGGATGGAGCTCAGACCATGATCCCAGGGTTCTGGGATCGAGCCCTGCGTTGGGCTCTCAGTTTAGCAGGGAACCTGCCGCTCCCCCTGCTTGTGCTCTCTCTGTTAAATACATACATACATACATACATGTAGATCCTCAGGGTGGGGGAATAGAAAGTGACAGCTAATGGTGACAGGATAAAGATGAGTTGTTCTAATCTTAGATTGTGGTGATGACTACACAGCCCTGTGAATGACCTGAGAAATTGAAACGTACACATTGAGAGAGTCCATTTTGCTGTACGTGAATGATATCTCAATAAAGCTATTAGAAACAAACTGGGGTAATTTTAGACAACGAAAGAATCAATATCAATGAAAATGAATTACCGCTGTACATAATCTGATGTGTGCGTGGACGAATTTAGCGAACATGTGATTTAAGTCAAAGAAATTAGATACAAATGGTGTGCAATCCATCTACACAAAATTCAAGAACCAGCAAAGTTAAACCATAGCGTTAAAAGTTAAGATAGCGGTGATGGCAGGTGCCAATGGGGCTTCTGATGACAATGTTCTTCTTGTTTTTCTGTAGGTTGATTATGTGGGTTTTCACTTTATAATGGTTCGTTGAGCCTTCCATTTATGTTTTGCCCATTTTTTCATATGTGGGTTACACTTTAGTGAAGATTTTTAAAAGAACATGACAAGCAAGTGTTCTTGAGAAAATGACCAGTTGTCCAGTAGATTCTGTCACTATGTCACATTCTCAGGAACATGATAAGAACATGAACAGCCACATCAAGGAAGAGCACCTTCTTCCCAAGCTGCTTGCTTTGAGAGCCTCCGGGTTTCCTGACAGACCAACCAATGTGTCCTGATTCCAAAGTCACATCTTCCAAGCAGCCTTCCTGTCTCTGGATAGACAGCCCTTCACTTGACAGCTGTCTGTAGGACACAGCTAACTGGTTACGTTGGTGACAAAGTCTCCAACCCTCCTGCTTGTCCTAGGATGGGCTACAACAGAAAGTTCCCTCTGCTACCGAGACCCAAGCAGAGCTGGACAAAGTAAGTTTTCACCCATGGGCAGCCTTGAGGGATTTTTGAGAAAGAAAAGGCTGTGATAAGCCCAGATGTTTTCGAGTTGGCAAACACCCCAAATTCTATTTTAGACCAGAGGAACCTGGTTAGGTTCCACTTACATTTTGCCAAAACCGCCTCTCATTTTAACTTGAGAAGGAATTTCATTGAGAAACTCAAGATATTATGGATCCCAGGGTCAGCCTGTTCTCGGGAGGGTTGCTTCTTCCATTTTGCTCCCAGGGATATGGTGCGGTCAGAACCCAGCAACACCAGGGGACCCACTGACATGAGCTACTCCAGGGATTCTCTAGGGCCTGGGCACCTAGGAGATTCTCATGAAAATGTGTGCCAAGTGTCTCTAGAAGTGATGTCCTTCCAAGACAGTCATGTTGTAGTAAGTGCTCTGGTCTGCCAGACTTGTTTCAGGATCATTCTCTTTCTGGAAATAATTTGAGATCAATCTTAGGCCTGTTGCGATACTTGCTGTCCTCAGCGGCTTCTGGTGAGAGCATGATTGCTCACTGGGATTTAGTGTTAATTCTTCTACTTACCTGACACTTGAACTTGGACCTTTTCTGTCTTCTAGATTTTTCGAGGATGTGGGTTTTGTGAAGTTAAGGTTGTTCTTCATGTTGTTCTGGATTACTTTCTTGAAGATGTGTTGGGAGATTTGAATTTATACAGCTGCCATTGACGACAGAACTCTCTTGCTTTTAAGAAGAAAGAAAAGCCAAACCCTGGAGATAAGAGTCCATGGTCAAAAGTGACCCAGTTCCGTACGGCAGGGCTGGGCTTGAAAACCAAGCAGGACGTTCCCGTTTTATCCTGTAAAACTTGTAACATCAAAATAACCTGCATTCCTATACGTTTTTACTTGAAAATGAATCTTCAAGTTTATTTATTCTCAGTAATAGGTGAGTTCTATTTGAAGATCCTGCTTTCGGAAACTAGGCTAAAGAGGAAAATCTGGACAACCTCCAAGCTTCCTATGAAAACTTTCTTTGCAGCTTTCCTTGAAATAGCCATAGTTCCCCTGCACTTAAAGCACAATTTAATTAGCAAGAATTCAATTTATATGCAAAATTGCCAGAAATGATCCAATGCATCAACCTAGGCACACCTTTGTTCTTCTGATCTCCCTTCTCCTCTACCACTTATCTTTTCTTCTAGAAATAAACCACATACCACTATGGGATGGGCTTGGTCATCGGGTACAGTATTTGAATCAATTAGCACAAGAAGTGGCACTCTCAGATACTTCTGGAAATGAAAGTGAGGAGGGTCTTATTTTAGGGTCTTACTCTAGAATCAGGATAACTTGGATGAATATTGTTGAGAGCAGTTCCATCTCTAGTTCAAGTTGTGAGGCAGGAAAAAGGCCAGGCAGATTTCCCCTTCCTCCACCTTTTGTTCTAGCCAGGCCTTCAGTGGATTGGATGATGCCCATTCACATGAGGGACAGCAATCTACTTACATGTGAATCCATCCAGAAACATCCTCACAGACACACCCAGAAACAGTGTTTAATCTGGTGACCCCGTGGCCAGTCAAGGTGACACATTAAATCAACCATTGCAAAGGGGCTGCCAGCAAACCTGCTTGATCTTGGCCCCAGAGGAAGATATTATCTGTATTATCCAGGACAGCCAAAAAAATCTATTTGATACAGAGACCCTATCTCCATCTTCCAAAATAGGTTTTTTTTTTTTTTTTTTTTTTTTTTGCTGTTGTTGTTACAAATGTCCTTGAAAAGACAGTATGGAACAAAAGTGATCCATGTTTTAAGATTTGCAGAAATGCAGAAGACCTGTGAGTATTGTCTTCCAGCAGCCATGGCCAGTCTAGAAGCCAAAATTATTAAGCATCTCAAGCCTTCCTTTACGTACTACTGAGGAAAGGACAGTACCCAGTCATTCCTTATAACCTGTGTTTCCGGGACCTGCTCATGATCTTGCCATGATACTTTCTGAGAACAGGCCCTTGGGAAACTCTCAGGGAAGGCAGAACCAAACTATGACCTGGGGACTCTGTTCAGCTCCTTTTCTCCAGAGAGCCTGTCCCTAACAGGGGCTATTCTGCTATTTGGTTTTCTAAAATTCAACAGCATATTAGGTGGGGATACATACTTAGGTAGAAGGAATACAAAATGAATGGCAAAGTCCAGAGAGCGGTTGCCTATTGGTGGGGAAGGAGGTGCAGGAATCTAGGAGCATGGGGGCTGTGGCTTCTAAGGAATCGGTAGTGTTCTATTCCTCAGCCTGTGATAGGTTCATGGGTATTCATTTTATTATTTGTTAAACGTACATATACCTTTTCTGGATACTTCTATATATGGGATATATTCTACAGTTTAAAAGAAAGTAGGCAAGAATGAGTGAGTTGAGATTTGGAGTCAGAACACTCCAAGCTCCACTCCCTACTATCTTGGGCTTTGGTGAATTCCTCTTCATCCGTTGGAGCTCAGCTTTTTAAAAATAATAAATTGGGAGAATTGTAAATGCAGCAGAGTTGTCAAGTCTAAACAGAGGTTGGGATTTGGGCAAGGTAAATAATGACAGGGAAGATTGGCTCTTCCCCCTCCCAGCAATGGAACCTAGCTTAGGGTGGTAAAATAGATAGACGGGTAAATGATGGGTATTTTTGATCCCCTATTCTATTAAATGGGCCATGACAATGACCTTATTACACCTATCTCTAAAAGAAAAAAAAAATCTGTAGCAATTTAATAAACCAAGTCAAATTATGGGCTTCGAGTCCGGGATGGACATCCAAGAACACAGTGGTCCATGTGTTCACTCGGATTAGAACCCTTAGGGGAAAATGTCTGGCTGGGGTTCACGGCGGGGGCGGGGGGAGGTGGGTGGGAGGAAGAGTCTGTTGTCTCCTCAGAGGCCAGCTCAGCCTCCTCAGGCCCCCATGATTGGCACCTAGCGTGTGGGGCTCTCACTGGGAGTCAAAGAAAGCATTGGTGAGGGGGAGGGTGATGGTGGTGGTGGTGCAGTAAGAGACCTGGGGGCGGGGAGAGAACAGAGCAAACCAAGAAGTGAATGAGAGACAGAGGGGAGGGGTGGGCAAGAGAGAGGGATTGGGGTGGGAGGCGGGGGCAGGGGGCGGCGGGGGAAGAGAGAGTGAAGGAGAAAGGGCCAGAGGGCCAGAAAGAGAAAGAGATGGGGTGAGGCGGTGGGGAGAAGAAGGGGAGAGCCAGGAGCGCGAGCAGGTCTCCGATGGAGGGGGGAGGAGGGCCCCTCTCCCCTTCCCCCTCTCCTGGCTCCTCCCAACTCCCCCTCAGCCCAGCCCTCTCCTCCGCCCGCTCCACCCCGCCTCCCGGACGTCCCGCTCTTTCCCAGCCTACCCTCCCCGCTGCCCCCTCCACCTCTCCTCCCTTCTAAACCCCGCCCCCTACGGCCCTTCTCCCCTGCGCGGCATTCTGTCCGCAGCACGGTGGCCCCGTCCGTCTGCCCACCTGGAAGATCCCCGGGGTGCCTTTGGCCGCCCGTTTGACTTTCGCTTTGGGAACTGTGTGTTATCACAATAAAGATATTTCCAGACTGCAAAGGATGGGAGGTGCCCAGGCCTCCTCGAGAGCAAGCCGCCGCGCCCGCCAAATTCAAGGCCTCCGTCCGCCCCCGCGCGCGCGCACACGCACCCCTGCCCGGCGACCCCAACGGCCGCGCCCCGGGCCGGGCGGTGGAAAGCGCGCAAACGCTTCTGCGGAGGCTGCTCCTCGCGCGTGTGAACTTCCTGCTCCGCGGCCCCGGGCGAGGCTGAGGGGGCGGGGCGGGCGGCGGACGCGGGTGGGGACCAGCTCCCGCCGCTGGGGACGTCGCCGCCGCGCCGGGGACCCGCGCCCCTGCCTCTGCTCCCCGCGCCGGCCCCTCCGGAAGCGGCTTTGGGCCGAGGCTGGGGTTGCATCCCCGCCTTCGGGGCTCTTCTGCGGCCTTGGGGACCCCGGCGCAGCGCGCCTGCCCTGGTCCCGCCCTGCGCCCCACTCCCGCGTCTCACACCCCCCCCCCGCAGCTGGGGCCGGAGGGTCCCGGGGGAGAAATGAGACGGAGGAAACCACGAAATCGGGTCCAAGGGGAAAAAAGACAGACAAAGGGATGGATTGCCCCCCCCACCCCACCCCCCGTTCTTGGCAACAACTTCCAGAGGATCCAGGGAAGGGGAATTTGATAACCATGTAAGTTCACCCTTAGATATAGCCCAGGCCTTGTCTGGCCCTTGGCCAAGGGCGTGTTTGCCGAGCCCAGCTTGCAGAGAGGCATTTCTACAAACTCCATTTCTTTTTCAGCTCGGGGTGACTGACTGTCCCCCCCTCCCGCCCCCCTGCTTCCCCCTTTATTTTTCTTCCTCCCTGCCTTCAATTCTTTCTCTCCCTTCCTCCCTCCAGTTTTCCCTTGCACCTCCCCCCCCCGCCCCCAGGACTTTCTTTGCGCAGATTCGACTTAATCATACTCTGCATGCGATCGTCATAGGGCCACCCAAAGCCCCTTTTCTTCTTCTCTTCTATTATTTACTTCTTAATCCTTCATCTCCCGCTCCCCATTAGGAGTCCAATCTGCATATTTAATGTATGTTTTTCCAGTCCACTTGCTGTCTTCATACAGTGTGGTTTTGAGCTTTAATTACCTAAAAGTATCGTCAAACTTTTATCCCATTTTTAAATTAATTAATTAATTTATTTTTAAGATTTTATTTTTTGACAGAGAGAGAGAGAGACAGTGAGAAAGGGAACACAAGCAGGGGGAGTGGGAGAGGGAGAAGCAGGCTTCCCGCTGAGCAGGGAGCCCGATATGGGGCTCCATCCCAGGACCCTGGGATCATGACCTGAGCCGAAGGCAGATGCTTAATGACTGAGCCACCCAGGCGCTCCATCCATTATTTGCATTTTAAATTCAACATTGCTTTTGAAACTTTGGTGAGATACAGTTGACATACAACAGACTGCCCGTATTTCACGTGTACCTTTTTAAAAAAGATTGATAGATTTTAGTGGGGGGAGGGGCAGAGGGAGAGAGATAATCCCAAGCTGTCTCTCTGCTGAACAGGGAGCCCAGAGGGGCTGGATCTCAAGACCCTGAGATTATGACCTGGGCAAAATCAAGAGTCCAACACTTAACGGACTGAGCCTCCCAGGCGCCCCTCACCCATACCTTCCATAAGCTTAGACATAGGCGTGCCTTGCTGGAACCACCAATGCAAGGAGTATACTTAATATAGTCATCACTCCCCAAAGATTCCTCCTATCCCTTTATATTTTCTTCTCTGTGTGGCTCCCTGCACCTGTCTCTTCCCCAGACAACAATTGATCTGTCACCATAGATTAGTTTGCATTTTCTAGAATTTTAATAAGTGGGATCCTGGATGCTACCTTCTGGTTTTGTTATTCAGTTATTCTGAGATTCATGGATATTGTCGCATGTATCAATAGTTCATTCTTCTTTATTGCCATGTAGTATTTCATTGTATATTGTGTATCCTACAGTTTACTTATCTGTTCGCCTGTTGATAGGCATCTGGGTTCTTTCTAGTTTTTGCCTATTACAGTAAAACTGTCATGATCATTCATTTACAGATATGCTTCCATTCCTAAGAGTAGAATGCCTGGGTAGGCATATGTTTAACTTTTAATGGAATTGCCAAAATGTTTTCCAAAGTGGTTGTACCATTTTATGTTCTCATAGTAGGGCATGAAAATTCCAGTTCCTCCACATCCTCACCAATGCTTGGTATCATTTTTTTTTTAACCCATTCTCATAGATACATCCTTGTTATTTTGTTGTGGTTTTTAATTTTCATTTCCCTAAGACTAATGAAATTGAACATATTTCAGATTTTATTATTCATCTGTATCTCTTCTCTGGCAGTATGTCCACTCAAATCTTTTGTTCATTTAAAAAAAATTTTTTTTTTTTAAATTTTTATTTATTTGACAGAGAGATAGAAGAGCACAAGCAGAGGGAGTGGCAGAGGGAGAGGGAGAAGCAGGCTCTGCACTGAGCAGGGAACCCGATGTGGGACTCGATCCCAGGACCCTGAGATCATGACCTGAGCCGAAGGCAGACGCTTAACCATCTGAGCCACCCAGGCGCCCCTAAAAAAATTTTTTTAATTGAGTATATTAGTTTCAGGTATATATACAACATAGTGATTCAACTTCTCTGCAAGTTATGCTCTGCTCACAAGTGTAGCTACCCTCTGTCACTATACGCTATTAAAATATCATTGACTATATTTCCTATACTGTGCCTTTTATTTATGTGATTTAAGCCTTCTGTAACTGGAAGTCTGTATCTCCTACTCCCCTTCATTCATTTTGTACACTCTACCACCCTCTTTCCTGCCAGCCACCATCAGTTTGTTCTCTGTATTTGTAGGCCTGATTCTGCTTTTTGTTTATATATTCATTTTCTTTTTTTAGATTCCACATGTAAGTGAATAAATGTGGTAATTGTCTTTCTCAGTCTGACTTACTTCACTTAGCATAATACCTGCTAGGTCCATCCATGTTGTCGCAAATGCACACTCTCATGCCTTCACTATGACTGTGTTGTAATATTCCATTGTTCTTCTTTTTTTTTTTTTAAAGATTTTATTTATTTATCTGACAGAGAGAGACACAGCGAGAGAGGGAACACAAGCAGGGGGAGTGGGAGAGGGATAAGCAGGCTTCCCGCCGAGCAGGGAGCCGGATGCGGTGCTTGATCCCAGGACGCTGGGATCATGACCCGAGTCGAAGGCAGAGGCTTAACGACTGAGCCACCCAGGCGCCCCTCCATTGTTCTTCTTTATCCATTCATCTATCAGTGAACACTTGGGTTGCTTCCATATCTTGGCTATTGTTAATAGTGCTGCAGTGAACATAGGGATGTATATATCTTTTCAAATTAGTGTTTTCATTGTGGGGGGGAAATAACGGGTAGATCATATCTATTTTTAATTTTTTGGGGAAACTCCATCCTGCTTTCCACAGTGGCTGTACCATTTACATTCCTACCAAAGTGCATGAGGGTTCCTTATTCTCCATATCTTCACCAATATTTGTTATTTCTTACCTTTTTGATGTTAGCCATTCTGACAGGTCGTTTTGATTTGCATTGTCGTTTTGATTAGCATTGCCCTGATGATTAGTGCTGTTAAGCATCTTTTCAGGTGTCTGTTTGCCATCTGTATGTCTTCTTTGGAAAAATGTCTATACAGGTCCTCTCCTCATTATTTATTTATTTATTTAAATTCAATTTTGTTTTTTTTTTTTTTAGAAAGGGAGGAGAAAGGCAAAGGGAGAGAGAGAGAGGGAGAGAGAGAGAGAATCTCAAGCACTAGATGATGACCTGAGCTGAAATCAAGAGTCGGATATTTGACTGAGCCACCCAGGTGCCCTTCCTCTGCCCATTTTTTTGTTGTTGTTTTTTTATTTTTATTTATTTCTTTATTTATTTTTTATTTATTTGTGAGAGAGAGAATGAGAGACAGAGAGCACGAGAGGGAGGAGGGTCAGAGGGAGAAGCAGACTCCCCGCTGAGCAGGGAGCCCGATGCGGGACTCGATCCCTGGACTCCAGGATCATGACCTGAGCCGAAGGCAGTCGCTTAACCGAGTGAGCCACCCAGGCGCCCTGCCCATTTTTTTAATAGGATTATTTGTCTGTTTGTTTTGGTGTTGGGTTGTATAAGTTCCTTACATATTTTTGATATTAACCCCTTATTAGAGATAGCATTTTCAAATATCTTCAGTAGGTTGTAGGTTTTTGTTGTTGTTGTTCTGTTGATGGTTTTCTTTGCTGGGCAAAAGCTTTTTATTTTGATGTGGTCCCAGTAGTTTATTTTTGCTTTTGTTTCCCTTGTCTTAGGAGACAGATCTTAGACAAATGTTGTTATGGCCAATGTCAGAGAAATTACTGCCTGTGTTCTCTTCTAGGATGCTTATGGTTTTAGGTCTCACATTTAGGTCTTTAGTCCACTTTGTGTTTATATTTTTGTATGGTGTAAGAAAGTGGTTTAGTTTGATTCTTTTGCATGTAGCTGTCCAGTGTTCCCAGCACCATTTATTGAAGAGACTGTTTTTTCCCCATTGTATATTCTTGTCTCCTTTGTCATAGATTAATTGACCGTATAAGATAAGTTTATTTCTGGGCTCTCTGTTCTGCTTTATTGATCTATGGGTCCATTTTTGTGTCAGTGCCCTACTGTGTATCTTGAAATCTGGAATTGTGATGTCTCCAGCTTTGTTCTTCTTACTCAGAATTGCTTTGGCTTTTTGGGATCCCCCGTAAGGATTCAGTATTGTTTGTTCTAGTTCTGTGAAAAATGCTGTTGGTATTTTGTTAGGGATTGCATTGAATCTGTAGATTGCTCCAGGTAGTATGGGCATTTTCACAATGTTAATTCTTCCAATTCATGAGCATGAAATATATTTCCATTTGTTTGTGTCATCTTCAATTTCTTTCATTAATATTTTACGGTTTTTGAGAGTACAGGTCTTTCACTTCCTTGGTTAAGTTTATTCCTAGCTAAATTATTCTTTTGGTTCAATTGTAAATGGAATTGTTTTCTTAATTTCTCTTTCTGCTACTTCATTATTAGAATATAGAAATGCTACCAATTTTGCGGTATCAGTTTTGTATCCTGCAACTTTACTGAATTCATTTATTACTACTAGTAGTTTGTTGGTGCAGTCTGTAGGGTTTCTCCATATACTGTCAAGTCATCTGCAAATAGTGACGGTTTAAAAACTTCTTTACCAATATGGATGCCTCTTATTTCTTTTTCTTGTTTGATTGCTGTGGCAAGGACTTCCAATACTATGTTGAATAAAAGTTTGCCATTTTTTTCTTTTTTCAAAGATTTATTTATTTATTTGAGAGAGAGAGAGAAAGAGCAAGGGGAGGGGCAGAGGGAGAGAGAGAACCCACAAGCAGACTCCCCACTGAGTGCAGAGCCTGATGCAGGGCTCGGTCCCAGGACCCTGAGATCATGACCTGAGCCAAAACCAAGAGTCAGCTGCCTAACCGACAGAGCCACCCAGGAGCCCCTGCCCTTTTTTTTTTTTTTTAATTGGGTGTGTGTCATCTTATTACTGAGTTTCTTATCATGGTAAAATATATGTAACATAAAATCATTTTAGCCACTTTTTTTTTTTTAAAGTTTTTATTTATTTGACAGAGAGAGACACAGCGAGAGAGGGAACACAAGCAGGGGGAGTGGGAGAGGGAGAAGCAGGCTTCCCGCCGAGCAGGGAGCCTGATGCGGGGCTCGATCCCAGGACCCTGGGATCATGACCTGAGCCGAAGGCAGACGCTTAACGACTGAGCCACCCAGGCACCCCATTTTAGCCACTTTTAAGTGTATAGTTCAGTAGCATTAAGTACATTCACAATGTTGATCAACCATTACCACTATTTTCAAAACTTTTTTTTATCCTCTGTTCTACACAGAAACTCTACCCATTACACAACTCTCCAACCTCATATGCTGACCTATATGGTAATTCTGTGATTGACATTTTGAGGAACTGCCGTATTTTTATACAGAGGCTGTAACATTTTCCATTTCCACCAGCAATGTATGAGGGTTTCAGTTTCTCCACATCAACACTTCATATTTTCCATTGTTTTTGAAAGTAGCCATCCTAATGGGTGTGAGGTGGTATTTCATTGTGATTTTGATTTGCATTTCCCTAGTGATTAATGACGTTGAGCATCTTTTTATGTGCTTACTGGCCATTTGTGAAACTTCTTTGGAGAAATGCCTATTCAAATCTTTTTACCATTTTTGAATAGCGTTATTATTGAGTTTTGAGAGTTCTATATATATTTTGGGTATAAGTATCCTATCAGATATATGCTTTGCAAATATGTTCTCCTGACCTGTGCCTTGTCTTTTCATTTGATAACAGTGTTTTATATAGAGCAAATGTGTTCAGTTACAGTGAAGTCCAGTCTATCATTATGCCCTTCAATGGATCATTCTTTTGGTGTCATATCTTAAGAAATCTTTGCCTACCTTAAAGTCACAAAGGTTTTCTCCTACATTTTCTTCTGGAAGTTTTAAGTTTTACATTTAGGTTTCTATTCCATTTTGAATTAATTTTCTACATGATGCAAGGTATACATGTTAGTTTTTTTCCTATGAATAAACAAATTTTCTAGCCACATTTTAAAAAAAGACTGCTTTCTTCACCTTTGCACCTTTTCCAAAAGTCTGCGTATGTGCAGTTCTATATCTGGGTTCTATTTTCTGTCCCATTGATTTCTTTTGTCTGACTTGATGCAAATACCATGCCGTCCTGATTAGTATAAATTTACAATAAATCTTGAAATCAGATAGTCCACCAAATTTTTTCTTTTTCAGAGTTGTTTTCTAGGACTTTTGCATTTCCATAGGAATTTTAAACTCAGCTTATCAGTTCCTCCAAAAGTCTGCTGGGAATTTGTTTGAGGATGCATCAAATGTGTATACCAATTTGGAGAGAAGTGATATTTTAGCAATATTGAGTCTTATGAATATTGTACATCTCCCAGTTATTTAGGTCTTTTAAAATTTTGCTCTGTGATGTTTTGTAGTTTGAGCATACATATCTTCGGCATCTTTTTTTCAGACCTATCCCTAAGTATTTCATATTTTTTGTGCGGTTATAAATGGTATTTTTAAATTTTGATTTCTGATTGTTCATTGCTAATGTATAGAAATACAATTGAAATTTTTATATTGATCTTGTATCTTGTATCCTTGCTGAACTTATTAGTCCCAATAACTTCAAAAAATAGATTTCTTAAGATTTCCTACAAAGATGATCATACTCTCTGTGAATAAAGGCAATTTTATTTCTCCTTTCCCAGTGGAATATTTTAATTTATTCTTTACCTGATTTCATCAGCTAGGCTAAAATCAAGTTCAAGTTCCAAAGGGAGATAATCTAGCTCACCGTCTCCTTTTACAGATGAGAATACGGAGGATCTGAGGAGACAAAAACATTGCCTTAAACCATTCAGTTAGAGGCAGATTTAGTACACAGCCATATGATCCATTCACAGGCAAGTGAACTTCCTTTTTTTCTTCCAGTTTCTCCCCTTAATGACAGAGGCTTGACTCCAGTGCCCCAATACTGATTCTAATCCCCAAGCTACCACTGACCCGCTGTGTGCCCTTAATGAGCACAATGCTTATTTCTCCCTAGTGGCTCCACCTATAGAATGTGGTTAATAATATTCACAGAAAGGGTTATGATGAGGCCTTTGCACCTCACTTGCTTCCTCTTGTTTCCAGCTTCCAGATGCTGTGTTGATGGTCACCAGTTCCCCCAGAGCAAGCAACAATGCAGGGAGGAATTAGGAGCCATGGCCGTCGACTAGCTCCTTGGGATCCAGGGTAAAAGAATTATGTATCTTTGTTGCTATTACATTTTCATCCATAAAGTGGGACTCTTTATCTCATGGACACTTGTAAGAAATGGTCAGTGGTTTTTGTTTTTGTTTTTTTTTAATTAATTAATTTGAGAGAGAGAGAGTGCGTGCATGGGTGGGTGGAGGGGCGGAGGGAGAGGAGAGAGAGAATCCCAAGCAGACTCCTAGCTGAGTGTGGAGCCTGATGTGGGGCTCATTCCACGACCCAAGATCATGACCTGAGCTGAAACCAAGAGTCTGATGCTTAACTGACTGACCCAGAAATGGTCAGTGTTTTAAGAAGTTATAAACCTTAAGGAAATAATTTACTAAGTCATCTTGGGCAAGTCATTAGCATTTCTCAATTCACTTTGCCTATCTGATAATGGGAGATAATGTTATTTTTCCCCTCACGGGGTTAATTTAAAGTTAAGTAGTTTGTTTGTGTATATTACGTTATACAAATGCACCCTACTCGAAAACACAAAAGCAATATGTTAAGTATATTAAAGGTGGAAACACATTGGAATTTTTATAAAGATTGCATTTTTTCAAAATACTACATTCACAGGGGTCCTTGGGTGGCTCAGTGGGTTAAGCATCTGACTCTTGGTTTTGGCTCAGGTCATGGTCTCAGGGTTGTGAGACCAAGCCCTGCATGGGGCTCTGCCCTCAGCATGAAGTCTGATGGAGATTATCTCTCCCTCTGCCCCTCTGCACCTCCCCTTGCTCGCTTGCTCTCTCTCTCTCAAATAAATACATAAATAATTTTTAAAAAAATCCAAAATACTACACTCAGCAAAGAAAGCAAATGATAAGAAAGTTCTTGAAGCGTGAAACAATGACGCCTGCTCCAACTCTAACTGCAGACTCATTCCCTTTTAACTATTTCTATTAGTTTTTCTGACGGCTTCCTTCATTTCATTAAAAAAATATTCTTATACCAGTGCTTTTTAGATCTCAAGATTAGATATATCAGTTGATTTATTGCTACAGTGGATAAGGATTTACCTCACTTTTATCACATTCCTACCCCAACAGAAGAGATTTTTACTTCTTTTATTGGTTGCCTGGGTAATTCAAAAAAACATATATATCCCTCTACTTATTTTATTAGCCATAGGCTGTTTGATTTCTCCACTTTGGAAGGGGAGGATACTTACCCTTTATACTTTTCGTCATTTTTTTTTTTAACCTCCCACCTCTCTTCCTTTGGTGTTTATTCTTTGTACATTTTCCAGGGTGATAATTTTTACAGTTGGTTCTTAGCCAGAATGATTTATCCTGGCATTTCTCACTGGTTGATTTGAACAGTCGAAAATCATCTCACAGTGTTTACATTATGATGACTATGTACAGGTTGTTCTGTGCAGAGCCAAGCATGTATTATGATTCTATGTCCTTCTTGTGTGACTTTTTTTTTTTTTTTTTTAGTGTTTCTGCTTACCTTCTGGGAACTGAGACTCCCCGCTCCTTTTCGATGGTGCCAAACACATGTAGGCATGGATTCAAGCACCCACACTCACTGCTTGCCAGGCAAGCCAGTCAGTCTCATCCCTGGACCTGGGCCAAGGCTTAGTGAAGGAGCCATGGATGGGGACAAACCAGCTCTCTGGCTGCTCAGGTGAATGTAGTCACCTTGCTCAGCCTGCAGGTGGCTTCTGAGTAGACTGAACTAATGGCCACCTCCTGCATGCCACCATTGAAGGAATGTTTCCATACAAATCTTTAATTTATCTTGGAGTTAATTTTAGTATGCGTTATGAGTCTGTATCAGTTAACTATTGCTGTGTAACGAATTATCCACTCCTCCCCTGCCCCCCCCCCCCAAAAACCCTTGGTTGCTTAAAAAACTAATTATAATTTATTTTCTCTTGGTTTTTGTGGGTCATGGATTCAGCCAGGGTACAGAGGGGATGGCTTGTCTCTGCTCATAATGTTTGGGGCTGGTTCTAAGGCTGGAGCCTGAAGTCTTCTGAAGGCTTGACTAAGGATGGAGAATCTGCCTTTTTTTTTTTTTTTTTTTTAACACAGGGCTTGAACTGAGGACCCCGAGATCAAGACCTGAGCTGAGATCAAGAATCAGACACTTAACCAACTAAGCCACCCAGGCGCCCTGAAAATCTGCTTTCAGAGTGACTCACTCACATGGCTAGTTAGTTGATTCTAGCAAGTTGGTGTCCTTTTCGTTGGGTTTTCCACAAGGCTGCTTGAGTAACCTCATGACCTAGTCGCTGGTTTCCACCAAAGTAAGTGATGAAAGAGAGTGAGAGAGAGAAAGAACGAGAGAGAGAGAGAACAACAGGCAGAGAGTGTATTCTTTTTATGACCTAGCCCCAGTCATCACAAAGCCTCACTCCATCACTCCCAATACATTCTGTTTGTTAGAAGCAAGTCAGTGAATGTAGTACACTTTCAAGTGGGGGAGTTAGGTTCCACCGGTGGAAGGGAAGAGGGTCGTAATTAGCAGATACACAGTTGACCCTTGAACAACATGAGGGTTAGAGGTGCTGACCCCTGTGTAAGTTGAACATCTGCATATAACTTTTGACTCCCCCCAAACTTAACTACTAATAGCCTACTGTTGACCAGAAGCCTGATCGATTACATAATCAGTCAATTAACACATATTTTGCATGTTGTATGTATTCTTACTATAAAGTAAGCCAGAGAAAAGAAATTGTTAATAAGAAAGTCATAAGGAGGAAAAAATACATATAGAGTATTGTAGTGTATTTATATAAAAAAAAATCTGCACATAAGTGGATCTGCACAGTTCAAACCCATGTTGTTCAAGGGTCAGGTGTATTTTAAAACCATCACAGAATCCAACTTAGGTTTTGTCTGAGTTTGCAGACCGCTGTCACCTGTTGAATACTCTATCATCACCACACCAATCCGAACCATCATCATTTGTATTTACCAAAATCACATATAAATTTGGGTCACTTCTGTTTCCCATCCTGTACTGGTGTCACATTTTAGCCTAGTATTTCGGACAAGCTGCTTTCCTTGAGCAGAGGAAGAACTGGGAGAGAACCTCTCTGGTCCCTCAAGGGGCAAATGCTGAGAAAGGTGTGTTACAGAACAACAGAAAATATACTGCTTTTCTCTCTCGTTCGCTGGGGAGAGGGATTAGTTGTGATGAAGCCCTGTGCTCATGTCAGAGAGTAAAGGCCCTCATCCTGCTAATTCAGACACATGGGGGCTGCAAGTGCTGCCTCCTACCCAGAGGGGGCCTCTGGTGACCTTCAGAAGGACATGAAGATAGAGTTGTCTTTTCAACAATGAAGGCTTCTTTGGTGGACACTCAGCTCTGGGCAGGCTGAGACCACATGGGCACAACCTGGGGGGTGGGTAGAGCCAAGATATTGGGAATGGGTATGGCCAGTAGCAACCTTGATTGAACAATAATAGCTAGACTTAAAAAAACAAACCAACCACTTTTCAAATTAGTAGGAACTTGGTCTTGTTCTGCATTATCGCCCCGAAGGCCTGTTTGGGTGAGCAGGAATGGGGCACAGCAGGAATTTCCAGACAGGGGCCATTCCCGGAGTCAGGTAGGTATGGTCTCTTGTGGCAAGAGCACCCATTCCTGGTGAAGCAAATGTGGCCAGCACCCTGTGGTCCAGGGAGGTACAGGGAGGAGCGTGCAGACCCCACAGGGAGAGGTGGGCAAGATTCACTCAGAGGACTAGGATGCTGGCCAAGTAGCTGCATTTCAGGCCAGAATCCAGGCTCACCAGGGAAAGGGTGAAATATAAATCAGAAAAACCTTGCCTTTGGAGCAGGGATGGCTGCATTTCACACCAATTCTGGTTTAGGAAGACAAGACTGATGCTGGACGCCCCCTGCTGGAGAGGATGTGGCATCTCATGGGTGGCCAAGAAGGAGGGCTCCTCGCCTGGAGAGCCAAGTGAATTGAGTCTCAACGAGGAGGCTTGTGGTGTGGAATCCCTCCCTCCCTCTGAATCCCCTCACTCACCCTCTCTCAACAGCCCACCAATGCCTACTGATCTTCAGGGTACAGGGGCATCCTTCCACCTACAAACAGATCAAATTGGCACATGAGTCTTGGCCCCTGGATTCACCAATTACCAGCTCAAGAAAGCCCTGAGTGGAAAATTCAAGAGGATCACGTTTGGCTTCAATGCGTACAGGTCTCTTGATACTTTGCACAGTCTGGGTCTTGGGCCCTCTATTTCTAAGTATGGGCTTTGAAATGGTGGGTCTTGGAGGAGTCTGTCTTGCTTTCACTCACAATAACAGTGATGGTCTCTCATGGCCACCAACATCCAAACCCAAGCGTCCGCTGTGAAGCGTTGGAAGAGAGAGGCCAAGAGACGCAATATACCTGACCTGCTGGGGGTCCATTGCTGGACAAAATGATCAGAAAAGACCACTGCCCACCAGAATAGAGCTGTTCACAAAAAACAAGTGGATAGGCTGAGAAGTTGAGTTTTGTCAACTATGAGCACAACAAATTGTTTCGACCCCCAGACCCGGAGCATGGCTTCCCTTACGTCCCATTCAGATCATCACTGCCAACTGTAGGGTTTTTGTCTGCTTACTGGTCTTGTTTTAACCTCACCCTGAGCCCTCTGCTCCATCCATGAAATGGGATTAAGCCCCGCCCTTCCACAAAATTAAGACAAGGCTATTTGTGTGTGTTAAGATGAATTGAGACCATAGCCAATTTCTTTTTTTTTTTTTAAGCATTCCTTTATTGTGGAAAAATACACATAACATAAAACTTACCATTTTAGCCATTTTCAGTGTATAGTTCAGCGGCATTAAGTACATTCACACTGTTGTGCAACGATCACCACTCTCCATCTCCAGAACTTTTTCATCTTTCCAAATGGAAACTTGATACACGTTAAACCACCTCTCATTTCCCCTTCCCTGGCCCATGGGAGTCACCATTCTACCTTGTGTGTCTATGAATTTGACTATTCTAGGTACCTCACATACATGGAATTGTATAGTATTTGTCTTTTTGTGACTGACTTATTTCACCTGGTGTCATGTCTTCTTTCAGATGTCTCCGTGGAAATGGAATTGCTGGATCGTAGGGTAGTTCTATTTTAAAGTTTTTGAAGAACCCACACACTGTTCTCCTTAGTGGCTGACCCAGTTTACACTCCCTCCAACAGTGCATGGGGGCTCCCCTTTCTCCACATCCTTGCCAACGTTTGTGATCTCTTGTCCTTTTTTTTTTTTTTTTAAAGATTTATTTATTTATTTGCGAGAGAGAGAATGAGAGACAGAGAGCACGAGAGGGAAGAGGGCAGAGGGAGAAGCAGACCCCCTGCTGAGCAGGGAGCCCGATGCGGGACTCGATCCCGGGACTCCAGGATCATGACCTGAGCCGAACGCAGTCGCTTAACCAACTGAGCCACCCAGGCGCCCATCTCTTGTCCTTTGTTAACAGCTATCCTAATGGGTGTGAGGTGGTATCTTCGGTTCTGCTTTGCTTTTCCCTGATGATGAGTGATGTTGAGCATCTTTTCATGCACCTGTTGGCCATTTGTATGTCTTCTTTGGAACAATGTCTATTTGGGCCCTTTGCCCATTTTTTAGTTGGATTATTATTATTATTTTTAAAGATTTTATTTATTTATTTGAGAGAGACTGGGAGAGAGATAGGACACATGCACAAGCAGTGGGGGGTGGTGTAGAGAGAGAGGGAGAGAATCCCAAGCTGACTCCGGGCTGAGCGTGGAGCTTGATGCGGGGTTCAATCTCATGACCCGGAGATCATGACCTGAGCTGAAACCGAGAGTCAGACACTTAACCTACTGAGCCACCCAGGTGCCCCAGATTATTATTTTTTTATTAAGTTGGTTTTTTTTTAAAGATTTTATTTATTTGAGAGAGAGAGAATGAGATAGAGAAAGCATGAGGGGGGGGAGGGTCAGAGGGAGAAGCAGACTCCCCGCCGAGCAGGGAGCCCAATGCGGGACTCGATCCCGGGACTCCAGGATCATGACCTGAGCCAAAGGCAGTTGCTTAATCAACTGAGCCACCCAGGTGCCCCTATTTTTTATTAAGTTGTAGGATTTCCCTATATATTTTGGGTATCACCCCCTTCTTAGATATATGGTTTGCAGATATTTTCTCCCATTCTGGAGTTGCCTTTCCATTTTGTTGAAGGTTGCTTTTGCCGTGCAGAAGCAGCTTTTAGATTTGATGTAGTCCCACTTGTTGATTCTTGGTTTTTGTTCCTTGTGCTTTTGGTGTCATCCAAAAACATCACTGCCGAGAACAATGCCAAGGAGCTGTTTCCTGTGCTTTCTTCTATGAGTTTTATGGTTTCAAGTTTTACATTTAAGTCTTTAATCCAACTCAAGTTGATTTCTGTGAGTGGTGTAAGATAGGGGTCTCATTTCATTCTTTTGCATGCGAATATCAAGTTTTCCTATCACCATTTATCAGAGAGCCTGTCCTTTCTCCTTGAGTATTCTTGGCTGCCTTGTCAAATATTAGTTGACCCTATACACCTGGGTTTATTTCTGGGCTTTTGATTCTGTTCCATTGGTCTATGTGTCTGTTTTAATGCCAATACCCTACTGTTCTGGTCGCTATAGCTTTGTAATATAGCTTGAAACCAGGCAGTGGGATACCTCCATCTTTGTTCTTCTTTCTCAACATTGCTTTGGTTCTTTGGGGTCTTTCGTGTTTCCATGTGAATTTTGGGTTTTTGCTATTTCTGTGCAAAATGCCAATGGAATTTTGATAGGGATTGTATTGAAACACAAGATCATTTTGGAAGGGAGGCTGAAACCTTTAATGGTGACTGATGAACTCAATGGTGAAGGGCAGAGGGAATTCAGACTCATCTAGGCCAGATTAAGACCTTTAGGGGGTCTGTCTCTCAGCTCCACATGCTGACTTCTAAGGGCTGCTTTTCATCATTGAGACTGAAAGTCTGCAACCTACATGCTGTGACTCCCTGACATGTCTCCCCTACATTTCTTTGGCTTCCTGTTAGATTCTGCCAAAAAGAGGCCCTGGCAGGAGATCAGATGGCAAGGAACAGAGATAAGTATCCAGTGCAACAGGTGCTGGAAGTTGCTGGTGTGGCAATGGGCACGGAGCCCCGGTCTAGTTCATGCATCTGGTAGATCCAGAACCAACCGTGATGGTGTGGTCAGTGGTGCAGCAGGAAGCAGAGGCCCCTGGGGCTGGAATGCACCACAGGGGCAGGGGCGGGGGCAGCATATAATCACTGAATTTCCCCTTTTTAACTCTTCCTCACTTTTGTACTCAATTCTCCGTGTTAAATTCCCCTGCTTGAAATACCTTGAATGATAGCAATTATCCTGCCTGGACCTTGAATGGCATCTTTTCATGCAATTTAATATAAAAAGAACACCAAACCTTAAAAAAGTTCAGTGTGTATCCTTCCAGACTTTTCCCTGGGATTTTACCATACAAATGATTTAATACTGTGTGTATTTACGGAAGTATTATCATTCATGTGCATTCTTCCACAACTTGATTTTTTTTTTAAATATATGATAACCAGTCTTGGAGTTCTCTCCACGGTGTTATAAATATGAGCTTAAACCGATGCCTTGTGTTCTAGCAGCCATTTATCTAATGATGGACATTCAGGTTTTCAATACGTCTGCTCTTAAGAAGGCGCTGTGGTGAACATTCTTACATGTGCGCCAGTGTTTCTTGGTGGTAGTTAACCAGACATGGAATCCCAGAGTTGTGTACATTTTAGATTTGACTACGGTTTGCCCGATTGTTCTTCAAAGCGGCCGTGCCAATTTACACTCCCACCCAGGGGCAGGAGAATGTCCTCTCCAATTCTTGATATTTCCCAGCTCTTTCGTTTTGGACAGCCTGGGGGATGAGACAGTATCTTGCTGGTGCTTTAGTTTGCATGCTCCTATGGACTCATGCATTGGAGCATCATCTGATAGGTTGACAAGGACTACTTCCAGTGGCAGAAGTAATTGTTCTTGCGAAGCAGAGTGGTGGCTGCTCCCTGGCTTTCAGGGGGCAGGTCTGTGAGGTGGCTCTTTTGCTACAAAGCTGCACCAAAAACTCCCCATGATTTCTTGTGCCATCAGCAGTTGGCTGACGCTGCTGTCAAGGGGGAGGGAAAAAGCGCCAAGCCTTTTTTGGACGCGTGTGGATGTGCGTGGTACCTAGCAGCGAGTAGCTTCCCCTGGAGTAGGGGATGGGCTGCTGAGTGCCCGGCAGTGGCCAGCCCCTGTGGAGGGCAGGGATAGACAGAGCAGAAAAGGATTCCATCAGCCACTCCCTGGAGGATCCATCAAGCAGCAAGTTTGCAGTAGTAAAAGTGGTGGGCTTTATTGAGAGCCAGTGATGCAGTCCACTCCCAGGGTTACTGAAATGTCATGGAAGCCGGACAGTTTTCACCTCTGGATTCCTTCTGATGACATGGAATCCCGTGATACATTTTAGATTCTGAAAGCCCCAAGCAGAGTCCAGTAGGAGTATGGTAACCTCTCTGCTTTGATAAAATAGAAACAGAAAACAGGACAAGGAAGGGAGGGGGAGAGACCTGAGAACGGTTATGCTTCAGTTAATTCTGTTTTGTTTTCTACAAGATGCTCCTCACAAGCTGAAGGGATCACCTTTCTTGCAAATTTCAGTTATATTCTGGTGGGAAAAGCATGAACTCAACTGGAAGTCCAGACTTTGCCACTTTGTGCAAGTTTCCTAGCACCCCGCCCCCCCAAAAAACACCTGCCTGCTCTGGAAGCCTCTTGCTCGCTGTTCGTGGTAAGCAGCACCAGGCTGGAAGTCAGGACCAGGAATTCCAGCTCCTGTTTTGACAGAAACTCACCGGGTAATTAGCAAGCTCCTTCAGCTCTCTCTCCCTCAGTTTCTCAATCTGTAAGAGGGTGTGATCATGCCTGTACTCCTGGCTTCTGTGAGGATAAAGACGACAGGAAGTGCGAAGGCTTTGGCTAAACGCTCCCGCATTGTACGTAGCCATCAGGTGCAAACTCAGGTGTGCCAGAAAGTGTCCAGCCGCAAACAACCCAAACTAGTTTTACTCTAGATGCAGAGAGAATATGCTTTTATGGATGAAACCGGTTGTCCAGGACGATTTCTGGCCTGTCTTTTGGGGATGTTGGGCAGCAGGGTCAGAGAGGATTGTGACAAGGACGACAAACTCTGAAGACCTGTCAGGTGTCCTCCCAGGTCCTCCTGGAAAGCGCAGCTCCAGGGGCTCTCTGGCGCCACCTGGTGTCCCATCCTCGCCACTGCCCAGAAACCACGTGTAAGAAAGTGCTTACAACCTAACTACGCACCCTGGTTTAGACCCGTCCTAGCCAATGGGGGAGGGGGAGGCGGGGCAGGGGAAAGCGGGAGCCCAATCGCCTCCTGTTTTCCGAGGAGAAGGCGGGGCTTGGGATTTACCACGTTGGGTTTGTCCGCAGCGCTAATTACTTTTTCCAAAGGCTGGAGGGCTTCACTCCGGCTGGCGCCGCCGCCTCGAGCGCTCCTGCTCCGCCGCGACCGTCCGGGGGGCTGCTCCTCCCCAGTACCATGTGTGACGGCGCCCTGCTGCCTCCTCTCGTCCTGCCCTTGCTGCTGCTGCTGGTTTGGGGACTGGACCCGGGCACAGGTAGCGCCCCCTCGCCCACCGCCCCTTCCTCGCCCGTGCCTCTCGCGGCCACCTTCCTCCTGCCCTCCCGAGGCGTCCTGGCGGCTCCCGCCTGCCTGCGCGGCCCGGGTCCGGCGGCGGACCGCTGACAGCGCTCGGGGCCGAGGGCGTGCGGGCCGCGGCCGGACGACCGGGCTCCAGGCGGCTCCCGGGCGGCCGCGCCGCCGCCGGGTCTCCGGGCGCCGATGCCGCGCCGCCGTCCCCGGAGGTGCTCGGGCGGCCGCGCTGGAGCCCTTCCCCGGGTGGCGCGGGGCCCGGGCGGAGGCGCCGGCCGGCACGGAGGTGCCGCGGCGAGGGAAAGGAGGGGAGCGCCCGCTCGGGGCCGCGCTGTGCCCGCGCTGGCGCGGCGTGCCCAGCGCTGGACCCCGTGCGCGGCGGGCGGCCGGAGGGAGGGCGGCCGGGCGGGCCCCGCCGCGCTGACGCGTCTCCTCTCTCCCCGCAGCTGTCGGCGACGCGGCGGCCGACGTGGAGGTGGTGCTGCCGCGGCGGGTGCGTCCCGACGACGTGCACCTGCCGCCGCTGCCCGGCGCCCCCGGGCCCCGAAAGCGCCGGCGCCCCCGCGCGCCCCCCGCCGCCCCGCGCGTGCGGCCGGGCGAGCGCGCCCTGCTGCTGCACCTGCCGGCCTTCGGGCGCGACCTGTACCTGCAGCTTCGCCACGACCTGCGCTTCCTGTCCCGCGGCTTCGAGGTGGAGGAGGCGGGCGCGGCCGGGCGCCGCGGACGGCCCGCCGAGCTGTGCTTCTACTCGGGCCGCGTGCTCGGCCACCCGGGTTCCCTCGTCTCAGTCAGCGCCTGCGGCGCCGGCGGCGGCCTGGTACTGCGCGCGCCCCCTCCGGGTCTGCCCGTCGATCTGTCGCGGCGCCGGGGGTGGTCCCCGGGGCAGGTTGGGCTGGGGGTGGCGGCGCCTGGGCGGGAAGTTCAGCCTCCAGGGGTGCTCTCCCGCCGTCCGCAGGCAACCTCCCCTCTTCCCGCCCCGACCTTCCAGAGGGTCTCTGAGCAAAGAGGGTGAGAGTGGAAGCATCTGATTGTCCAGTGCCTTCCCCCGGCTGTACCGAACCTCTGCAGTACACGGGGACTGTGCCGTTCCGGGGTTGCATAGGGGGATACGCAGCAGCCGCCCAGGGGAGCCCAGGTCCGGCGGGGGCGAAAGCTGTCGGGCCCCTAGACCGAGAGGCGCACTTCACCCATATTTATTTGCACCTGCACAGCTGTGTATGTGTGCGTGTCACGGGGAACACCTATAGGTGTGTATCTCATCTGTTCTTGGATGTGGGGGTAGCGTAGTGAGTGAGCATTCACTTCCCTTCTGTCCTCTCGAGCCTTTCTGTACCCGGAAAAGGACAGTGTGATGGGGTCCCCTGACAGGGCGCTAACCTTCTCAGTTGAACCGTGAGAACCAAGAGAGGGGGTGTTCATACCCTTCTTCCCTTATACCACGAGCAGGTATGTGTCTGGCAGCCATGCTCAGCCAGGCCTGGGGGGTGCTTACATTGGTGATAAGACCCTGTTCCTGTCCCCAGAAGCTCCCTTGCTGGGGCAGTAGCTACCCCACCCCGGGGACCCTGCCCGGCTGCATTAGAAGCACCTGTAACAGCGCTCACAGGGGCAGGGGGCCGTTCTGGTGCACGTCTGCCCTGCTTGTGCTCACACTGATCCCTGTACGTTGGTGCCCAGCCACATGCTTCTCAGCTTCTCCATCATGCCCCCTAGGAGCGCGCATGGCTGGCGGATGGGCTGCCCCTAACAAAGCCTGGTATCGGCTCAGAGCATGAGACGCCAGAGTTGTTTCTGTATTTTGTCCTGATTGGCCTCTGGGGAAGCGGTTTCTGATACTCTTTTATGTCTGTTCTTCTCTGGCAGAAGAAAACTTCCCCAACCTCTGTCTTATCTTGCTCCACCGTCTAGAATTCTCTAGCCCTTACCCACACAGTATGCAACTAGTCTTAGAGAATCTGCAGCAGATCCAGAGAGCCTGGGGGTCCAAGTCTTTATGTAAGACTTCTGCTTTCCTCCCAGCTCTATAGAGGAACTCCGGGAGTGGGGGAGGGGGGATAATTTCCTAGGATTGGCTTTCACTAGTTCTCCTTGCAGGCCGGTTCTGAGTCCTGATCAGACTGTGATCTACTGGGAGAAATTGGCGTCTTCGGTTAAACAAGGAAAATGGACCGTGGAGGCAGCCTGTTAGGAGCTAATGTGGAACAGGGGCAGAGAATGTGGGCTGCGGGTGAGGAGGCTTAAGGAGGAGTGAGAAAGGCTCAGATCACCGTAGGACTCGGGTCAAGGCTGTATCATGTTCTGGGAGGGACTGGAAGGCCCACATCATTTTTCCTGTTTTTGCCAAAGTGTTTAAAGTCTAGGTCACATCACTGTACTGTACGTGGAAACATCTGAATCCCATTTGCTGCGGTTTGGTGAGTTTCTCTAGAGGTCAGAGTTTATACTTCTCGGTGTAAAGTTTCCAGCGAGGAGCTATCTGTAAGGAGCTGAGGGTGGAAGTCTGGATAACATTGATTCCACATCCTCACCGAGTTGAACGCCGGGCCCTCTCACAGATGGCATCCGGGCTGTGAGCGGGGCGAGGGTTCACTTCAGTCCCCCAGTGTTCGAGAAGACTGTGCTTCCCTTCAGTACCATGTGGGGGCGCTGTGCTGTAGATAAAGGAACCCCGCCAAGAGTCTGTTCAGCGGGCGCCGGCTGCGGGCCGACCTCGAGGACTTGAGATTCTAAGATTCCTGCCGGAGCAGACACTTCTGGTGTTTAGTCTGCCGTGTTCATCCTGTTCATGTGAGCTAGCCGTCGGACCCTTCTTCCTAAGTGCCCTCTGCAGAGGAAGGGCCGAAGGCAGGAAGGAGGAGACCGCGTGGTGACTGGGAGGGGACCTCTTGGTCGCAAGGTAGCCCTGAGACATGTCAGGAAAGGAGAGCAGCAGGAGCTCAGGCTATAGCCAAGTTTGCAGGGCACTCCTACCTCACTTTGATTTTGGTTCTCAGACGTGCTCGAGACAGTTCAGGGGGTTGGTAAATGTGTCAGTCGCTGTTGACTGAGGTGGAAGCGCCGGGAAGCGGAATGGGGCAGATGTGTTGTGTGTCAGGACAGGCTCAACCGCAAGGTGTGGGAGAGGACCGATAGCAACTAGGAGAGTTTTGATGTCCGCAGGCGGGAACATTCCCAAGCCACCTTGGATCTAAAGATCACGTAGAGCCCGGGGTTGGCAAACGTCTTCTGGAAAGGACCAGATAGTAAGCATTTTAGGCCTTGTGGGCCATATGGTCTCCGTCATGGTTAAGTCCACACTGTCCTTTTAGCCGTAGACAGTAAATAAACAGATGGACGTGGCTATATTCAATAAAACTTTATTCCGACGTTGAGTAGCAATTAAATCCTGATGCATCAAACATCTCTCGAAGGGTTTAGCGGAGAGTGTTTGGTGCAGGGGAATGCGGGCTCTGTTCCCTGTTGCATGGCGTCTCTGCGGTCTCCAGAGATGTTTGGTATCTGTTTAAAGCAGATGCATAATTAGAGTAGATCATTACTTGTTTATGGGGCATGAAGCGTAAATCTCATGTTCCATTTCGCCTCTTCTGCTTTTGACTGTGGGCAGAGGCGTGGGCCTGTGGTGTTCTCCCTCCCTTATCTTGGAAAAGTTATGCAAGCTGCACTTCTTGGCTCTTCTAGGTGCAAGTATTGTTTTCTGTTTATGCTTTTTCATTTTATTTACGTTTCAGGGAGTCCTTAGACATTACCTAAGTCTTTGGAAGAGTTTCTATAACCGTATAATTTCAAAGCAATGAACTTTGGGTATGTGAGGCAGGTATTTCCACCCCCAGAGAATTTATGCAAGTTTGGATCAGCTGCCTCCTGTGAATGGGGCCAGCTCATGGAAGGCCAACAGAATTGGAATCAGGTTAAACTTCACCTGAGTGGGCAGCAGAGAGGGAACTTTAAGGGATAGAGTGGATGTCAGTGTCTGAAAAAGTCTGAAATGAGTGAATTGAAGGGGCTGTTTTCCATCCCCACACATGAGGACAGAGAGCAGGGGAGGCCCCTGCCAGCAGGTTTGGTCGGCTGAGCAGTGGCCATTCTTCCTTAATGAATGTAAGGTCAGGAGGGTCCACCCACCTGACTCTGTCCCTCCCTTCTGGGCTGAGGCCGTGGCCTGCCCGGGGTGTGCAATGAGAGAAATGTTGAGATCCGACAGGGACTCGGGAGCTCTGGGCCATGGAACTTTAAGAAGCCATACCCATTTGCCAGGCCCAGAGAGAGAGAGAGAAGGTCAGGGATGTTCCTGGCATGCTTTCCCAGGAGTCACAGCTACACTCTGTGGGATCCTTGCTTGGAGTCTCTCTCATCCTGGTTGGCCCCTGGGGTTGACCTGATGGCCCAGCCGAACCTGGCTCTGGCTGGTCAGCTCGACTGAAGCACAGGGGGCCACTCTGGTAGCACATCATTTGTGGTCTACTCAGGAGCTTTGCGAGAAGGCTCATCTCTGTTCCATGGGGGTAGATGGATAGGAACAGAGTGGGGCTGGGCTCAGTCAGTGAGCAGGTGGCTTGGAAGAGTTTTGGGGGACTCCATAATCAAGAGGGCAGCCTGCTTTTTTTCCATGTCTCCTCTGATTAAGGGGGCAGGTTTGGGAGGTTGCTGTCTCTTCCTTTAGGATTATCAAACTCTCTTTTGATTGATTATAAAATCGCCTAGCTTTCTGATACAGCATCCCTTGATTGCATATAGACAGAAATCCACTGCGGCAAAAATTGTACGGTATGGAGAACATTTGGAAGGGAGCACGTAGACCAAACTACAGCGTCCTACACCGTCATATTGGTACACGTGTGGCGAAGGCACAGAGTCCTATGAGAGTCATCCCTTAATATTACCGAAGAACTCCTCGTGTACAACGTAAATGTATTTGGAAAATGCACACACATTTTTAAAGCCTCATAAAAAGAAACAGTTGAGTGGACATTAAGGACATTAGGGAAAATAGGGAAAAGACAGTGTGAAGTTTGGAGGCGTGGAGGATTTGAAGGGGAGAACTTGGATGGATGGGAGAATTCTGAGGTGTCACACCCCTTCCTCTCGAAGGACGTTCATGTGGCCTCATGGTGACTTTCTGCCCCCCCCCCCCCCCACGCTCATGGGCATCATGGCGGCCATGCGACTCTCCCCAGCATCCCACCTACGGTCTGTAACTAGATTTCCGCATCTGAACTTTTATGTAGTTGGCAACATCATAAAAAAAGAAAAAAGTGCAAGATGGGATGATAAACCAAAGACGTCTTAGACTGATTGCATTCTTGGGGCTTATTTCCTGAGCTTTGAAATGCTGCAGCTGCCTGGGTTTGGATGCGTGCAACAGGGGATGGTTTTGCAGCCAGTATGTCAGAGGGAGCCACGCATGGTCACTGCTGATCCTTTCCCTGTGCACGCCTCTGCGCGCAGATGCACGGTCACGTTCTCATTCTTTAGGAAATGAGGCTGCACGGGCGTTTGGGGCTGTGATCCTAAGTGAGCCATCTCCTCTGAATGGTCCTGTGTGCAGCCCCAGGAGGGGTAAATAATATCAGCCTCGTGAGGCTGTTGATAGAATGAAGTAAGATAAAGTCTGTGAAATCATTTAGGGCGAGCCTGGCACAATAAGGCATTAAAAACACGTTTCTTCTGTTGCCCTCCGGGGCCCAGACTTTTCCAGTTATAAATCAACCAATCAGTCAACACTGTCGACTAAATGAACAGATCATTATCACACACCTGCCCTGTGTAGGACACTCTGGTGGGTTCGCAGCAAGCCTCAAAGCGGAATACAATGTGGGC